GTTTAGGGGTTTAGAGGTTTAGGTTAAGGGTGTCTCCTTAGACTTGCCTGTTGTAGCACAAAAACCCTGCACCCTGAGCAATGTGAGCCAGGCACAAGCAAACAGCTGCTTCATATGCTTGAAAAAAGCCTCAATGTGAGTGCTAAATCCCAGACCCCTACAGTTTGCACCCTAGACCTTAAACCCTAAACCCCAAACCCTAAATCACTAAAGAAGCGAATCGGCACTTGCCAAGGGCCCTATCTATAGACCGCTGGGTGCTAGCTCCAAAGATCCAAATAAAAGTAAATATCCTGCAAAGATATATGTGTTTTTGTTTGGGGTTTGAGGGTTTAGGGTATATCTCAAATAAGCCTCAAGACAAGACTCTACGGATTTATAAACCAAATAGGCCTAGAATCATATACATTTATAATATAGGTTTATAGAGTACAGTATGGCATTTGAGTGCAACGTCCCAGGTTTTGTTGGCCCCTGAGTAGCGAGCCCCAAACCCCAATAGCAAACCTGATAGAACCGTCAAAAAGAAAGATACAAACCATGCCTAAACAAACCAGTTAGTCAGACCCTGCAAACCCGTCTAGAAATCCCTCAACACTCCATTAAAGCACACATGACACTCTCATAAGCCCTTTCAAGCCCATGAGTAGACGCAGAGCTTTCGAAGCCGCCTTAACTGAAGAGTGGACCTGAAATCAGATCTAGAATCCCTCTAAACACTAGACTTTAAACCCTAAACCCTAAACCCATAACTTAAGGTCTATTCCTCAAAATTCAGATGTCAAACCCCATAAACCCTCAAACCCCAAACCCAACACCCTAAACCTTAAACCCAAAATTGCCTTAATATAGGTGCCTTAATAACTACCTGTACTATTGTGGGGGGTTCCTTACTATACATATAATATAAGGGAGGCCAAACCCCTATTCGAATTATTACGGCCCCTTGATTATAGCCTTGGGAATTCTTATTATAAAAATAGTATAGTATACCCCAAAATCCTATCCTAATTACTAAGGCCCCTACATTAAACCCTTAGGAATTCAGGTCCTGATCCTCGCCAGCTTGCCGCCTGCCGCTTCAGATCACTTCCTGGCCAGCACGCGCCTGGGCTCTGGAGTTTTAGGGTTTTGGGCTTAGGGCTTAGGGCTTCGGGTTTAGGGCTTAGGACTTTGGGCTTAGGGTTTAGGGCTTAGGGCTTTGGGTTTAGGGTTTATGGGAACACCTTTTTTGTTGGGGGGGGGGGGGGGGGGGGG